GAGGCACACCCTGAAAAACAAATGGCTTTGATGTTTTTAGATTCACAGAAAACCTTTGATAAAGTGAATTAGCAATTTATGTCATTATAGTTGGAACAGATGGACTTCGGTAAGAAATTTACTCAAGCATACAAACTATATACCAGAAACAAACAGCAAGAATGATAAATGGAGAGTTGACAGATTCTATTGAAATAAGGAAAGGGACAAGACAAGGCTACCCACTATCCCCTTTGTTATTTGTCTTAACATTAGAAGTTTTAAACAGAAATATTACGAAGAAAAATACATAAAAGGAATGAAAATTAAAAAGGAAGAATACAAATTGGAAGCATTTGCAGATGACCTGGTCTTCATCCTAGAGGATCCATTAGAAACTGCACCTAAATTGATAGGCAAAATAGAGGAATACAGTAAAGTAGCAAGTTTGAAAATAAAAATAAAACTAAGATTCTGACAAAGAATATAGCATCAAGACAAAAGGAAGAATTGGCGGAAGCTTTAAGGATCCAAGTCACGAACAAGGTCAAGTATTTGGGAATATACTTGACAGCAAGATGAGGTACACCTAAAGAGAACAATTACTATAAGCTTAAACAGCAGATTGCGACAGATTTGACAAAATGGGAAAATTTACAATTATCAATGTTCAGGAGAATTTCTACAATCAAAATGAATATATTGCCCATATATATATATTTGTTTCAGACAATTCAATTAGATTTGGGAAAGATTATTTTGATGACTTAAATAAAATAGTGTTGAAATATATTTGGGAGGGAAACAAAGCAAAAATAAAATTAAAATTGTTGCAAGATGCTAGAATAAGAGGAGGATTTGGTCTGCCTAACTGAGAATTACATTACCAGGCAACAAGCTTAATGTGGGTAAAGGAGTGGATAACATTAAGAAATTCTAGTTTTTCGCCCTCCCTTCCCTTCAGGGAAGCCTCTGGAGATCAAAAAATGGCCAAAAATGAAAACTGATGTCAGCTGGCCAGTGCGCGCATGCATGCTGGATCTGACAGGGCAATGCTTCGCGTGCCCTGAAAAATGACTCCACATGTCACTTGTGGCACATGTGCCATAGGTTCGCCATCACGGGGATAGGGTTTCCTACCTAAGCAAGGGTTTGGACTAGAAGACCTCCAAGGTCGCTTCCAGCTCTGTTACTCTATATTTTTTTCTATTTCAATTTTGTTCAGTTTACAGACTGCCAAATAATATTAACAGAACCAAACAGATTTCAAGAAGAATTACCTCATATTTTAATTATAAATAAAACAAGAATTATCATATATATACCAGTGGTATTATCTGGTTCCATAGCCTGGATTTCTTCTTGTAGTTTCAGATTTGATTCCAAATGTTGTAATAAAAGCTTCTTCCATGCACGTAGTTTATGCAGTTTCATTTCTACAAACAATAATGTTTTACAGTTATTTTGGAAAATTGTTTCATATGTTTATATTCAAAATCTCCAATTAAAAACTTGATTTCTCACATACTTTTATTATGCCTATTTACCACTATCTGATCAAATCAAGGCTGATTACAAGAAATAAAAAAACTAAAGTAATACAATTTCAAAATGCCTTCCTCTGTAACATCTATGGAGATTCTCAATTATTCAGATCATGTTTGTCCAAAACATGCTTCCTCAGTGACCACCAATATTCACAGCAAAAACATAAAAACCCCATGTAGTTAGAAAGAAAAAAGGATTTGCATTCAATTAGCACTCAAATGTTTTTTTAATAAGAAAACTTTTTTTCAAAACCTCCAAAAAATTCAATGAGGAAGCCAACCACAACTCAGTAGGTAAGTTGATGTTGATGTCAAATAATATATTCGGTATATTAACTTCTTGTATGTTAGAGGTCTAAGCATCCTCTCCACAGATGATCTTACACTACATTTAGTGTAAGAATTTAGTCCAGAGAAATAATATTACATATACGTACAACGGAAACATACAAACATTTATAAGCAGTTGTGTCAGGAAAGTTATTGTTAAACAAAGGAATGAATTCAGCCCACAAGTTACGCTGCTGAAGTGGTCTGCTTCCATCAGTAGCTGAGTCATCAAATTCTGGACTAAATGCAGCTTGGATCATCTTCAAAAGTATCTCCATATGGTATTATGATACTCCAATCATGTGGTAATAAAAGCATGAATCTCTGTAATTAGGGCTTTCCAATCTCACAAAGCTTCAAGTGGGATACCAACTAAAGCTGGGCAAAAGCTCTCAATGCTGGTGCCTCCATCTGCTGATCAAGAAGGAGCCTCAGTCTAGGAGAACCACCCTACCACTAATCATAGATATCTTGCCTCCAAGGGAATATGACCCAATTTCAAATGAATTTAAAATAACAGGAAAAAGTCATCTGTCTTTATTAGGGAAGAGAATAAGATCAAACTTATTTTGAATTTTAGGTACAAAGGGGGTAGATTGGAATAATTTATTCACTTGAAAGATTCCTCATATTAATTCTGATAAGTTTCAAGTAATGTTCATAAACGTTGGCTTCTTCAACAATTTTATTTGCAATACCTACACGTCAATTCTCTACAACTACAAGAGGTATCTTTCAGTGTATTAAAACCCGATAAGAGAATTTACGAAAGACACCATCCTACTACTTTAAGAAATATTCTTGTAATTCTAGCCATTTCATTTCAATACAGCTTGTTTAGAGGATTCTACATTATTTGTGCCAGCGGAAAAATTACATTTGTTTAAACTGAATAAAACTCATGGAACCATGAGTTGTACTGACTTCTGAAAAGCACAATCCCAAGTGACCTTACAAAATGTAGTCTTGGTTATCTATCAGGCTTTATCAACAATATAACTAACTTTATTTACAAAAATATTTGGCAAACATGCAGCAATGGCTTAAAGGAGGTTCTTTCTACTGACTCCTCTTCAAAAGTAAGGTGACCAGACGACCCGATTTCAGCGTGACATTCACGCTTTATAACAATTTTTCCCGTGTCCCTCCGCGTTTTAAAAAAGTCCCG